TTGAATTGGCTTCTGTAAATTTTCCTTAGGTGTGAGTGTGTGTTTGCATTGCTGTGTGTCTCTGTGTTGCCCTGTGATGGACTGCTGACCTTTCACCGAAACAGCTGGAGATAGCTACTGTCCCCACTGTGACTCTGATGGATAAACAGGAGAAGATGGATGGATTTCTGAAAAAATTCTAATTTGAGAAAACAGTAAACAGAAACCTGTTTAGATTATTTGAATGGATCTATAAACAAAGGTGTGGATGGCAGCGGCACAGCTGATATTTCTCTCCAGGATGGAGTCACAGCCAAACAGGAACAGACCAGATGAAGCTACTATGAGAAAAAGCAGAGAGAGCAGAACGTTAGAGATTGAACTAACAGATTCTGCAGAGTGGGAGAATAGAGATAGAATGAAGCAGAATGATGAAATAGGGGTCCCTATGTCCTCCAGCAGTCTAAGCCTATAGCAGCATAACTATAGAGATAGCTCAGGATAACCTGAGCCACTCTAACTATAAGCTTTATCAAAAAGGAAAGTTTTAAGCCTAGTCTCATAAGTAGACAGGGTGTCTGCCTCACAGACTAAAACTGGTAGTTGGTTCCACAGGAGAGGAGCCTGATAACTAAAAGATCTGCCTCCCATTCTACTTTTAGAAATTCTAGGAACCACTAGTAAACCTGCAGATTGAGAGCGAAGTGCTCTGTTAGGAACATAAGGAACAATCAGATCTCTGATATCAGATGGAGCTTGGCCATTTAAGGCTTTATATGTGAGAAGGAGGATTTTAAATTCTTCTCTGGATTTAACAGGAAGCCAATGAAGAGAAGTGCTAAATCTGGAAATTAAGCACTTTTGGCTCAACTGTATTATTCTACTCCATTAACACACTAATTTTATTGTGGATTTGTATAATATGATATATTACATGATTTATAGACTTTGTGGACTTGACTATGAAATATTATGGTAGTTAAAGTTAATCTACTGATGCTATGAAACAGCCAGTCAGTATCAAAATGATGAATTTATCTTTATTTTAAAAGTCTTTAGTCCCCTGGAAATGATAACATCATGGTTGTTCGATGCTATAGACTCACTTCAACCCCATACTTTTTTTATTACAAACAAAGAATAAACAAGAACAGTATCTAACATTAATAATTACACTCAGATAAAACATCAAAGGACTTTGCAGAATATATAATAATTATTTTACAATGTCAAAATCAAATCTGTACTCGAGGGTTGCAGTTCTTTAAGGGCAGTTATTATTTGAATGGCTTTAGCATTAAAGCTCAATTTTAAGGATTCTATGTAGATATTAATAGAAGATAATAAAATCTGGAAATGTGTTTTTTGTTGTAATATTTGAAAGTGTGAAATGAATGGTGTGAATATGATATTTACCATAAATAATTAAAAAAAAAGTTAACAACATATAAAAATTCTGTTTCGACAAGTTCACATTTCTCCATCCCAAATAAAGCATCCTTATCCGTTAGCGTAACATTGAGATTTTTTTGATGAAAAAAATTTGACATACTATCTCTCCAGAGAAGGTTGGTAACTATACCAAGAGAGAGAGATGTCAATAATCCCCAAAGGAGATGAATAAGCTTTTCTTCATTATTTTTGCAAAAAGTACACGTTGGGTCCAAATCCCCATTTATATGTTTTTACCAAAATTACCTTAACAGTATAAATGTTATGAGTAACTTTATAAGAAACGTATCTTACTTCATTGTTTATGGATTTTCTAAGGAGCAACCAAGTCCACATCCAGTTTATATTTTCAAAAACGCTGGATCAATAAAATATACAAGCTGATGAAAAAAATAAAATAAAATATTTCTTAACCTTTTGTTCGTGTTTTTTTTTACTTATAAAAAGACAATCATAATCAAAATAAATGGAGTTTAGATCAAAACTTCATTGAATTTAACGTGTGGGTAAAGATAATAAAAGCTTTAATGACTCAATGAGGATTGCTTCAAAGACAAAAGCATTTTCTTTAGGGGTAACAGGAAATTGGAAAATTAACATAAAGTCAGAATAAGACAATTAATGACCGTTTAGATTAATGAATTGGCTAACAAATATTCCTCCATAAGCCATTCAACCAACGGGCAATCAGCATCCATCAGTCCAACACATTTGTTCAATACTCCCTACCAGTAGGTGGCGGTAATGCACTTTCCAATTGTTTGCCAACCGCCGCAAAAAAAAAAAATAAAGAAACGAAAGGACCGAACAGCAGGGGGCAGCAGAGAGCAGCGGCTCACTGACCTCCACCTGCTGGAAGGAAAGAGAAGAAGAGCAGCGCCCCGTCCCTCTGATCATGGTTCGTTTTTCTCTCTAACTGCTGATTTTCTCTCTTAAACATCCATCTGTCTCCAGCTGCGATGATTCTTCATTATTATTTCTCTTTGTTTTTAGCTGAAGTCGCTTAAAATCTCAGACTTTGTTTCCCGGAGTGACGGAATTTGACGGAACACCGGCAGCTTATGGGAGTTTTCTACTGGAAACCAGTTCCTGCAGCTCACTGGTAGGGCAGCTTTCACTGGAAGCTAACTGATGCTGGCTCTGTTGGGTGTTATTATGAGGAAATGTGTCACATTCTAACTGCTTTATCTCTACATCTCCATTTATTTATTGTGCTTCTGGGAAGCAGGTGATGCTGGAGGTCCGGGTGGAGCTGCTCTGTGATGTTTACCTTCAGGGCAGGTCTCTGCTGTCTGCCTCCAACATGGCAGGAAGTTCACCTCCTCCTCTGAGGAGGAGATCTGTGGCTTTATAGATGTAGAACATACAGACTAGACCTGCTTTGTGGTGGAATCCCAGGGCGCTCCTGCTGGCGGGGCGTTTGGCACAGGGCTCCACAGAGAACTGCTTTGATTGGCTCTGCTAGCTGCTAGCATCGCTGCCCAGCTAGCCTGTCGCTAACTGAGATGTGGTGTCCTCCCTGCAGCCCACCATGCTCCGGCTGGGCCTCCCCCTCCTCTGGCTCCTGCTGCTCCTCTCCAGCGCCTCCCTCCCAGGATTCGCCGAGGATTCCCCGGATCCTAAAGTCCAGCTGAACTCCACAGAAACCAACTGCTCCACTGGATGCCAGGACTCAGGTACGCCAGGAGATCAGCTGTAATTAGCGCTGAGTGCCGCTGCTCCATCCCAGTAAATGTTAAACCATCTCTTCTGTTTCCAAGGTAACGGTACTGTGAGTCAGAACAAAACGGCTGAAGGCTCTTCATCAGACGCGATAAACGTCATCCAACGGCTGCCTCTGAATGGGACAAACCAAACCGAAGGACCTGTTAGCAGCCGGCCTCCAGGAATAGAAGCTCCTCCCACTTCTGCTGCAGCCACGCCCTCTCAGCCTGCAGATGGTGGCTCCACCACCAGCGCTGCTACAGCTGTCTGGACCTCTACACCTTTGGAAGATAACAGAACTTCTTCAGCAGCGGTTCTGTCCTCCAAACCTCCAGCTACAACCACTCAGGCTCCGCCCACTGAAACACCGTCAGCTCCGCCTCCTTCCACGCCATCAGACGCCATAAGAAGCCCCCCAACCACCACTGTTTTGCCCTCCCGCAGTCAGAGTCCATCTGTGGCGCCGGCGCTCAGCACCAGAAAGTCCACGCCTTCCCCGTCATCTTCCAGCGCCGCCGCCTCAGCCAGGCCTCGCAGCAGAACCTCGGCTCCTCCGAGTCGGGTTTCTGTTGTGGAGGAAGCCGGGGCGGTTCTGACCCGGCAGTTGGTGGACACGGCCTCCTTAATCGCCGTCCTGCTATTCGGCCTGCTCTTCTTCCTCGTCACGGTGGCGGTGTTCGCCACGCAGGCTTACGAGAGCTACAGGAGGAAGGACTACACACAGGTGGACTACCTGATCAACGGCATGTACAGCGACTCCAGCGTGTGATCCAGGAAGACGGCGAGGCTCGGTTCCGGCTCTGAAGGGTCACAGCAGTGGTTCTGTAGTCGGAACCAGATCAGACTGCGTCACCCGACACCTTCCTGTCAGCCGTGACCCGTTCAAAACTTTTTTCCTTTGTAGCTTTTTGTTTCTGACTGTTAATCAGAACCAGGAGTTCTGGTGCTGCTCGGCCTTCAGCTCGGGATTCTGCTCCGTCTGCAGCGGGGCGGTCCCAGCACGCCCAGCGGGGCGGCTCTCAGTTAGTTGTTTTCTTTTTCTTTTTCGGGATTAAACTTAAAAAAGAAGACTAAATGATGAAAGTTTAATTATTCAAACTTTTCTACTGAATTTAAAACCTCTAATTTTCGATAATTTCTTTTCCAAACTGGGACCAGCCTGCAATGATACTGGTTTCTTACTGGTTCCAGTCCCTTTGTCCTGAATGGGGTTTTGTCGAGCGGTTAGAAGCAGTTAATATCCTCCCTTCAGTAGAAGCGTCCGTTTTAGACGCTAACGGAGTTCCTTCCACAGTTCGTGGTCCAAACCCAGAACTCAGGCCGGTTCAGAGGAAGTCTTATGAGTATTATTATTATTTTTGGATCCTTTTACTTTCATGTTTCTCTTAATGAAGCCAGATAAGGAGCGCCGCTCATTCCTCCTCTATCTATCTTTCATGGTAGGAAAGTTTTGCTGCGATAATACGTTTTATTTTTCTCTTTGGACCTGGTCCAACTAAAGCGTGATTATAACCTCGATGACTGATGATGGGAGGAATCTGTCGACCAGTTAACAGCAGGCGATCGAAGCAGAGCTCAGTTTAACAGAAGACGCCACCGTTTCCCTCCTGACTGAGATGAAGGTTGGGTTTCATTGGAACGTCTTTGGTAGTTGAAGGCATCTCAGCTTTGTTGATGTCGGGGGAACCGATGGCGCTGCAGATGGTTTCTGGGTTCACTGATCCTCATCTGCTTTCTGGTCCTTCCTAGAGAGCTCCACAGCTCCTCGCTCTGGGTTCTGCTTTAAAGAGCTGTTTTTCTTTAGGAACCTGCGTCAGGGAGCAGAACCAACCAAAAACCAGCATGTCTTCTAACTAAACTCTCTGCAGACGGTCTTGACCCAGAGTTCCCTTTGCCGACCAGGAAGAATGTAGCTGTTTCAGCTAAATAAGCGTGAAATGACTGGAACATATTTGTCGGTTTGTATTGCATGACTCTGAGGCCCAGAATGAGTCCCAGGTGGAAGCAGGGGTTCTGTTATTGGGACGTCTGGGTCCTGAAGAGACCAAAAGACTCTGGAGTTTGTCTTAAACCAGTTGAACTCCGGTTCCGCGTCTTCCAGCAGCTTAATCGTCCGTTAAAAGCAAAGGTCCAAACCTCGTTTCATGGCATTCCTTCGTGCTCCGTTGGTCCAGATGAAGCCTTCCTTCAAGGTTCTCACTCATTTCACAGCAGTTTAGTTTTATTGAACAGAAGCTTCTGAATGTATTGAACCTATTTTCCTCCTAAATTACCTGTTTCTGAATGAAGAGCCAAACTTTTCCTCAGTAGGAACCCAGAATCCAACTTTCTCCTGCCAATTGATTGTTTTGTTTTGGTATTTTTTAAACCATGATGTTTGCTCTTTGTATTAATCTGTCGGTTTATGGTCGGGTACGTTTAGCTCAGTCACTTAAAGCACATTGTTATTCTATAAAGCCAAGGAAAATGAAAGCCATATGAGTTAGCGACCAATGGAGGAGGATGGGAAGCGGAGAGCGTTCCTCCGCCATAAGCGGCTGTGCCAGCCTGCAAAGCGATGTCGGTGTTCTTGTCATGTGAGTTGGACGGTCAGGAAGTGATGTTCTTGTGTCTGATGTTTAAAAATCTGTTGTCTCCGACAATGGGATCGGTTCTGTGTTTGCAGGAAGTCGTCATGGATTGAGCAATGACGTCACCTGTTATGTGCCAACTGAATATTGTACTAATGCACTTTCCAAATATATTTTTACTTTCAAGAAAAAGAATAATAAAGAGTTGAACTGATCTTTGTTGGTCATTTTTCCAGAGGAGTTTGGGTTTAGGTGGATGTTGTGGAAGCATGTTTTTCCTCGGCCCATTTAGAAGAGAAAATATTTTGAGTGTGCCTTTCCTCTGCATAAATAGGGGTGATTTTTATATGTTAAGAGTTTAGAGTGGGGATGACAGAAAGCAGTTGCCTTCCTACTCTACACAAGGGTGAAGGCGGGTCATAAGCGATAAGAATGAGTTAAGGCAGCCTCCTTCATGCCGTGAACCTGTTCTGATGTTTATCTGGCTAAAGTTGATGTCCTTGATGAACTGAAGTGTTTTTTTCTTGACAATTACCAAATGTGTGGGAGAGTTCTTTATGCAGGGGGTGGGTTGGTTCCCCTGGGGGGAGTGTGTGTGTTGGGAAATGCTGTATAAGTGTATGTAATGAGCTTTTGCCCCAGTCAGAGCTCTATCTCTCCTTCTGAAGACGTTAAATAAATTTGAATCTTTTTTTTCTTGCAAGAAATGTCCCCGCCTCAGCTTCCTAACTTCACAACATCCACCGCCTGTAGTGCTCTGTGTTACAGCGGCTCTGAAAAACCCTCTGACTGAAGACGCCCTGCTTCTGTTTAACAGTCTGGTGAAGAGGATGCCCACTTTGTTTGATGCTCCTTATGTTTCAATTCTATTCAGTTTATTTCTATAGCTCCAATTCACCTCATGTCATCTCAGGTCACTTTCCAGTTCACCAGATCATCCAGTCAGATTGATTCAAAGTTTTCTATCTAAGGAAAACCAGCTGATTGCATCGACTCATTGACTCTTCAGCAATCCCTCACACTAAGCATGCTTGCAGCGACAGTGGAGAGGAAAAAAACCCTTTTAACAGGAGGAAACCTCCAGCAGAACCAGGCTCAGTGTGAGCGGCCATCTGCCGAGGCCGACTGGGGTTCAAGGAAACAGAGATGTTTTAAAGAATCCTTCTCTGTGAAATCATCTCCAGAGGTTCTGACGGAGTTACTGGAACCAAGCCGGCCTTCTTTATCAGCTGGTTGAGCCTGAACCATGAAATAATTGTCAGAAAATTAAATTAAAAATTCTAAACTATCATAGATTTCCTACGTGTGAATCGGATGGTTTTGAAAACATGTTGAACTGGTGACCCAAAGGTCTCAAAAACACTTATTAGAGAGGATCCCGTTGGTGGTGCAGATGATGGAGGCAGATATCAGACTCTCCTCAGCTGACTGATAGAAGATCTGCAGCATCTGAAGGACCTAAGTTTCCTCTAGAAGCTTAGGTCCTTCAGATCTAAGCTTCCTCTAGAAGTCCAGTCTGCTGTGTCCCTTCTCTCAGACGGCTTCCCAGTTTGTCCCTGTTCCTGTTTCTCCGGAAATCTCCAATTATCTCCTTGTTTTGTTGACCTTCAGGATCAGATGATTGTTTCCACACCATGCCACAAAGGGCTTCACCAGCTCTCTGTCCTCAGCTTCTACTCCATCTTCAGTACTTCTGCAGATGACAGGACTCTGTCCGGTCCTGGAAGTCAGAGGTGAACAGAGGAAAAAGGAACGGAGAGAGTGTTCCGTCAGACCAGCATACACATCAATCAGTCAATCCCCCTTTATCTATTTAGTTTATCCCTTTAGTTTTATACGAAAAAGAAACCAGAAACTACCTTGACGGGTGTGTATCCCTTTATTCATGTCCAAAAAAACTAATTTCTTACTTTTGTTATTTTTTGAAGCATATGGCGATCTGACCTTAAATTGTTTTTCTTTTGTACATGTCTAAAGGGATACATGCCCGTCCAGGTAGTTTAAAGTCTATTTATGGTGTTCAATGTGTTTTTCATATAAAACTAAAGGGATAAACACAAATCTGATGTCTTGTGCATGCGTATTCACTCTGACGGGGTATGCTGGTCTGACAGAACAGCGTCTCCTGTGCTGCTGATTGTTTGATCAGACACCTGAGCCTTCAGTCTAACAAACTGTGGTCTGTTTTCTTTCCCACTTTCCAGGAACCTGATGGAATATCCTGAATCTCCAGAGTCTCATTTTAACACGTTGCTCTGCAGCTCCTTGATGACCAAGCCTTTACCCCATTCAGTGACGGTGCTTTAGCCTGTGACCCTGAAAGGTCTGGATCATGAAAACCTCATAAACATCATGAAAACTGACTAAGCAGGAAATAAAATCCTGCTTAGTGAACCTTTGAACTCTCCCTTCAAAGACTTTGTTAGTTAATGATTTGTGATAATCCGATTTATCTGATTATGTTCTGGGCCATATCTTCCCATATCCTGCTTTTTGTAAGCTTTCAAAGTCAACCACAGAAATATTTATGTGATGAAACATTATCCCTGGCACCACAGAGTTATGAACTAAATGTTTTCTTTCAAACCTGGAAAACAGACAGGTGCTTCTGCAGGTGGGAGCCGCCCATGTCATGCAGCACGCTATCACACCACTCCTGGTGGTCGGGCTGCTCTTTAGGGCAAAGTCTGAAATCTCTCACAGCCAGAAGCTGGGCGTGTTGTTTAGATTCATCATAATTATATCATCTAAACCTTCAGCCTGTAAAATCCACTTCCAACCGAGTTATTTATAGAATTATTCCTTCAGATTTCCACCTCTATTTTAGTTCTAACTAGAAAAAACACTTCACAGTATTTTACTGTTTATCTTTTAACTCCTCACTACAAGGTTATTCTTATATATTTTTCTAAGGTCCACATTTGAGGGACCATTTTTTATATAATCTTTTTGATGCTGTAAACACCAGAATTTCCCCATCATGGGACAATAAAGGGATTTTCTTTTCCTTTCTATTCTCTTATATTGTATTATATTCTATTATATTATATAAAAGGGGTAGAAGGATATAAGTAAATCTAAACAATGTATGAACAGAAATATATCTGCAAAATCTCTAATATTCATCAACAAAAAATACTTAGTTAAGCAAATTGTGCAAAACAGCAATAAAAAAATCCTTTCAGATTTATATTATCGTCACTGCAGAGATTAGAGATTTAAATTACAGCCAAACCAATTTCCACAGCACTGCCACCTATCTGACCCAATCACCATTAAAAAACTATTTTCATTCATTTCGACGGAATTTTTCACAGACTTGGATTATATTAAACTGAACTTCCGATATTCACCACTGTTCTGCGCCATTTTCAATTCTATTCAGTTTATTTCTATAGCTCCAATTCACATCATGTCATCTCAGGTCCCTGTACAGTTCACCAGATCATCCAGTCAGATTGATTCAGAGTTTTCTATCTAAGGAAAACCAGCTGATTGCATCGACTCATTGACTCTTCAGCAATCCCTCACACTAAGCATGCTTGTAGCGACAGTGGAGAGGAAAAACTCCCTTTGAACAGGAAGATCCTCCAGCAGAACCAGGCTCAGTGCGAGCGGCCATCTGCCGAGGCCGACTGGAGTTCAAGGAGACAGAAGCAGACATAGGCTCTGTACGAAAACCTAGGACGCATCCTTAGAAGACCGGATTCGAAGGCCGATTACGTCATAGCGCGGCGCCGAGGTCTGGTCGGATTCCAAGAGTCCTCGTTATGCGGCCTTAAAATGCGTCCTTCTTTTTGCCCGATTTGAAGGACGGGTCTGATGTATTGCGAGACCAAGCAAGCTGTGATCAGAGTAAAGGTTACTTGGCGCCGAACAGTGGTGAAAATTAAAAGTTCAGTTTAATATAATACAAGTCATTTAATAGTTCCGTCTGAGATTAATGAAAAATAGTTGTTTTAATGGTTATTGAGTCAGATATGTGGCGGTAGTGTTTGGTTTATCTAAAGGTTTTAATCTGTTACTGTGTAAATGGGTTTGGCTGGAATTTAAGGACAGATTCTAATATATCTGCAGGGTGGGGACCATAAATCTGATAGGAGTTTTATCTTTTTATTGCTGTTTTGCACAATATGCTTAACTACGTATTTTTTGTTGTTGAATATTAGAGATTTTGCAGATATATTTTTTATAAATACATTGTTTAGATTTACTTATATATTTCTTCCCCTTTTATAGAATAGAATAGAAAATCCCTTTATTGTCCCACAATGGGAAAATTTACAGCAGTAGAA